TATTCGAACTTGTATAATCACCCAAAGCTTATTGAGGAACCATCTAAGGTAAAATCATGAAAATTATTCTCGGTAACAGGCAAGTTTGAGAATGGTTGAGGCAAAAGTGATTCCTTTCTCAACAGATGCCTGCTCCTGAAGTCATTATGTGAAGGAAGGAGGGAGCAGAAAATAGGGTTGGAGCATCTGATGTTATTTCTTCACTGAAGGATTTGGCTTTTCTATTAAAATGAAAAATTAGGAAGGCCTGGCTGTTGAATTTGTAAATCAGAATTTCTGCAATGGGCAGGCAGAAGCTATGGAGTGTCATTTCCCTGTTGTAAATTATATGACCAAGAAAGTATGTTTTACAACCACATTTAACAGTTTTGTTTTGAAAATACTTTTTATTTTTCTACATTTTTAGAGCTACTATTCAGAGCTACTATTCTGGTTCTTGAGTCTTCCAAGACCTTTTGCCATCAATATCAGAACATGGCTTGATGTTTCAGATGTGTGAGATTTTTGAAGGCAACTTTCTTCTTGAAACTGTATCAAGAGGCATTAGATGTGCATTTGTCGCTATTGTATAAAAGGGAGAAAATAGGGGTTTTTTGATCCCAGATTCTGCCTACAAGTGTTTGATTGATATCTTTGTGCTTGACATACATTTTTCTGTGGGGGAAGTCTAGTATGGAAAACTCTACACATTTATTACTGTCAAATCTGAACTGTACGTCATATTTTTACATTCTATATGTAAGATAGCGTGATATGTAATTCTTGGGGAGAAAGAGACTGTGTGTGTGGGGGCATTATACTTACTATATATATTATATTTTAGCCCAAACCAATCAAAATTTCCCAGAAGACTGGAATTCCCCTGCATGTCTTGCCTCAGAGAGGTCTTACAGCTAAGCAAGTTGAACGCATGCAGATGATAAATGACAGTGACCTGCCAAGAGCAGCAACACAGCCACGTTCCAAAAATGAGACCAGAGAGGATCGTAAAGCTAGAAAGCAGGCAATAAAAGAAGAACGAAAGGTAAAATGTACTCGTTATTTAAGTGAAACCTTGAAAAATCTGCTATACAATGAGTTCTGTTTGATGAACTTTTTTAAAGCCCATTTGGTTTCTGTCTGGAAATAAGTGGGGAAGTCTTTTCATTCTCAAAGGCTAGTCATTGCTTCTTTTTAAAAAGTAAAAGCTACTGGAAAGGAAATAAACTTTGTAATTTTGTCATTCTGCTTTTCCTTTGGAATTTTTAGGCCTTTTATTGTAGCCACTATTGCATAGATAATAAGGAAATGTAAGGGCTTCTTCCAACAT